TTAGGGGCTGGGTGTGGGGGCTGGGTGTAGGGGCTGGGTGTGGGGGCTGGGTGTAGGGGCTGGGTGTAGGGGCTGGGGTGTGGGGGCTGGGTGTGGGGGCTGGGTGTAGGGGCTGGGTGTAGGGGCTGGGTGTGGGGGCTGGGTGTAGGGGCTGGGTGTAGGGGCTGGGTGTGGGGGCTGGGTGTAGGGGCTGGGTGTAGGGGCTGGGTGTGGGGGCTGGGTGTAGGGGCTGGGTGTGGGGGCTGGGTGTAGGGGCTGGGTGTGGGGGCTGGGTGTAGGGGCTGGGTTAGGGGCTGGGTGTAGGGGCTGGGTTAGGGGCTGGGTGTGGGGGCTGGGTGTAGGGGCTGGGTGTAGGGGCTGGGTGTAGGGGCTGGGTGTGGGGGCTGGGTGTAGGGGCTGGGTGTAGGGGCTGGGTGTAGGGGCTGGGTGTAGGAGCTGGGTGTAGGGGCTGGGTGTGGGGGCTGGGTGTAGGGGCTGGGTTAGGGTTAGGGTTAACCCTAACCCACTAATCAATAACACATTTAAATGTTAATGTGAGAATACTTTAAACATATACATTCTTAACACACGTGCACAGAAGTGTCTGTTCACGTTTTCATGACAAAAATACTGTTTTAATGCGAGAAAAAGCGATCGCAAAAAAACTGGAAGTAGATTCCGGGACATTTTAGGAATGTTTACAGAGAATGTCAGAGAGGACCCCCCTTCTCTCGACCAATCAGCAGCCTCGATTCAGTAGGTTCTTCCACAGTTTTAAATATGTTTGATACAACAAAGAAGGTCTGATGTGTTTACAAACCTTCACTCTGACTCTTTTACCTCAGGTTCTGGGATGGTTCTGTCTGTGATGGTTCTGTCTGTGATGGTTCTGTCTGTGATGGTTCTGTCTGTGATGGTTCTGTCTGTGATGGTTCTGTCTGTGGTGGTTCTGTCTGTGATGGTTCTGTCTGTGATGGTTCTGTCTGTGATGGTTCTGTCTGTGGTGGTTCTGTCTGTGGTGGTTCTGTCTGTGGTGGTTCTGTCTGTGATGGTTCTGTCTGTGATGGTTCTGTCTGTGATGGTTCTGTCTGTGATGGTTCTGTCTGTGGTGGTTCTGTCTGTGATGGTTCTGTCTGTGATGGTTCTGTCTGTGATGGTTCTGTCTGTGGTGGTTCTGTCTGTGGTGGTTCTGTCTGTGGTGGTTCTGTCTGTGATGGTTCTGTCTGTGATGGTTCTGTCTGTGATGGTTCTGTCTGTGGTGGTTCTGTCTGTGATGGTTCTGTCTGTGATGGTTCTGTCTGTGATGGTTCTGTCTGTGGTGGTTCTGTCTGTGATGGTTCTGTCTGTGATGGTTCTGTCTGTGGTGGTTCTGTCTGTGATGGTTCTGTCTGTGATGGTTCTGTCTGTGGTGGTTCTGTCTGTGGTGGTTCTGTCTGTGGTGGTTCTGTCTGTGATGGTTCTGTCTGTGATGGTTCTGTCTGTGATGGTTCTGTCTGTGATGGTTCTGTCTGTGATGGTTCTGTCTGTGATGGTTCTGTCTGTGGTGGTTCTGTCTGTGATGGTTCTGTCTGTGTTGGTTCTGTCTGTGATGGTTCTGTCTGTGGTGGTTCTGTCTGTGGTGGTTCTGTCTGTGGTGGTTCTGTCTGTGATGGTTCTGTCTGTGATGGTTCTGTCTGTGATGGTTCTGTCTGTGATGGTTCTGTGATGGTTCTGTCTGTGGTGGTTCTGTCTGTGATGGTTCTGTCTTTGATGGTTCTGTCTGTGATGGTTCTGTCTGTGATGGTTCTGTCTGTGATGGTTCTGTCTTTGATGGTTCTGTCTGTGGTGGTTCTGTATGTAGTGGTTCTGTCTGTGATGGTTCTGTTTGCGGTGGTTCTGTCTTTGATGGTTCTGTCTTTTATGGTTCTGTCTGTGGTGGTTCTGTCTGTGATGGTTCTGTGATGGTTCTGTCTGTTGTGGTTCTGTCTGTGATGGTTCTGTCTGTGGTGGTTCTGTCTGTGGTGGTTCTGTCTGTGGTGGTTCTGTCTGACGGTTCTGTCTGTGGTGGTTCTGTCTGTGATGGTTCTGTCTGTGGTGGTTCTGTCTGTGATGGTTCTGTCTTTGGTGGTTCTGTCTGTGGTGGTTCTGTCTGTGACGGTTCTGTCTGTGGTGGTTCTGTCTGTGATGGTTCTGTCTGTGGTGGTTCTGTCTGTGATGGTTCTGTCTGACGGTTCTGTCTGTGGTGGTTCTGTCTGTGATGGTTCTGTCTGTGGTGGTTCTGTCTGTGATGGTTCTGTCTTTGGTGGTTCTGTCTGTGGTGGTTCTGTCTGTGACGGTTCTGTCTGTGGTGGTTCTGTCTGTGATGGTTCTGTCTGTGACGGTTCTGTCTGTGGTGGTTCTGTCTGTGATGGTTCTGTCTGTGGTGGTTCTGTCTGTGATGGTTCTGTCTGTGACGGTTCTGTCTGTGGTGGTTCTGTCTGTGATGGTTCTGTCTGTGGTGGTTCTGTCTGTGGTGGTTCTGTCTGTGATGGTTCTGTCTGTGGTGGTTCTGTCTGTGATGGTTCTGTCTGTGATGGTTCTGTCTGTGATGGTTCTGTCTGTGATGGTTCTGTCTGTGACGGTTCTGTCTGTGGTGGTTCTGTCTGTGATGGTTCTGTCTGTGGTGGTTCTGTCTGTGGTGGTTCTGTCTGTGATGGTTCTGTCTGTGGTGGTTCTGTCTGTGGTGGTTCTGTCTGTGATGGTTCTGTCTGTGGTGGTTCTGTCTGTGGTGGTTCTGTCTGTGATGGTTCTGTCTGTGGTGGTTCTGTCTGTGGTGGTTCTGTCTGTTGGAGCGTCGGGGGCAGACAGTGAGAAAAATACAAAAGTGTGGATTCTGAGACAGATGCTCCTGGATCAGGCTGGATCAGTCTGTGCTGAAGAAGAGACTAAAGAGAATCTTCTTTAACACGTGATGGAGACTAAAGTGAGAAATGGTTCAAATCAATGCATTTTTCCCAAAACAGAGTCAGTTTCATGAACCAATGAAAGTGGGAAATAAAGGGGCGTGGCCACAGAGCCTTTGTATTTACTGCAGCTACAAAAATTATAAACATGTACCTTTCCTGTGAGCCGCGACCCATAACCTGCTGTGATACTGCGCCTCGTCCATGAACACCACGTCGCTGCCCATGCTGTCACTGGAGTAGTTCCTGAAGCGTGGCTCCATTTTGGACCAATTTCCACAAACGCAACAAAAACTCTGAGCAGCTGAAAGACTCTGCACAGGTCCTGTCGCTCAGACGAGTGCGTTCTCTCTCTCTCTCTGTGTTCTCTCTTTTAGCTGTTCTCTCTCTCTCTCTGTTCTCTCTCTCTCTCTGTGTGTTCTCTCTTTCTCTCTGTTCTCTCTCTCTCTCTCTGTGTTCTCTCTCTCTCTTTTAGCTGTTCTCTCTCTCTCTGTGTTAGCTAACACTTCTCTCTCTCTCTCTTTCTGCTTCTGCTGCAAAATACCTGCCCTCAGGCTCCATGAGCTGTCATCAACCAACCAGAGAGAGTAGCATGGACCTCACAGGACCTCCACAACTACAGGACCTCACAGGGCCTCCACAGGACCTCCACACCTACAGGACCTCACAGGACCTCCACACCTACAGGACCTCCACAGGACCTCCACAATCTCTTTAACTGTAGATGATTGGATCAGGAGCGGATGAACCAACTCCACTGTTTGTCGCATGGCGCCGTAAAGAAGGCGCTGTAAAGAAGGCGCTGTAAAGATGGTGCCGTAAAGATGGCGCTGTAAAAATGGCGCCGTAAAGAAGGCGCTGTAAAGATGGCGCTGTAAAGATGGCACTGTAAAGATGGCGGCGTAAAGATGGCGGCGTAAAAATGGCCCTGTAAAGATGGCGCCGTAAAAATGACGCCGTAAAAATGGCGCTGTAAAGATGGCGCCGTAAAGATGGCGCTGTAAAGATGGCGCTGTAAAGAAGGCGCTGTAAAGAAGGCGCTGTGAAGATGGCGCCGTAAAGATGGCGCTGTAAAGATGGCGCTGTAAAGAAGGCGCTGTAAAGAAGGCGCTGTAAAGAAGGCGCTGTGAAGAAGGCGCTGTGAAGATGGCACTGTAAAGATGGCGCTGTAAAGATGGCGCCGTAAAGATGGCGCTGTAAAGATGGCGCTGTAAAGAAGGCGCTGTAAAGAAGGCGCTGTGAAGAAGGCGCTGTGAAGATGGCGCTGTAAAGAAGGCGCTGTGAAGAAGGCGCTGTGAAGATGGCACTGTAAAGATGGCGCTGTAAAGATGGCGCTGTAAAGAAGGCGCTGTGAAGATGGCACTGTAAAGATGGCGCTGTAAAGATGGCGCCGCAAAAATGGCGCCGTAAAGATGGCGCCGTAAAGATGGCACTGTAAAGATGGCACTGTAAAGATGGCGCTGTAAAGATGGCACTGTAAAGATGGCGCTGTAAAGTTGGCGCTGTAAAGAAGGCGCTGTGAAGATGGCGCTGTAAAGATGGCGCCGCAAAAATGGCGCCGTAAAGATGGCGCCGTAAAGATGGCACTGTAAAGATGGCACTGTAAAGATGGCGCTGTAAAGATGGCGCTGTAAAGATGGCACTGTAAAGATGGCGCTGTAAAGATGGCGCTGTAAAGAAGGCGCTGTAAAGAAGGCGCTGTGAAGATGGCGCTGTAAAGATGGCACTGTAAAGAAGGCGCTGTAAAGAAGGCGCTGTAAAGAAGGCGCTGTAAAGAAGGCGCTGTAAAGAAGGCGCTGTGAAGATGGCACTGTAAAGATGGCGCTGTAAAGAAGGCGCTGTAAAGAAGGCGCTGTGAAGATGGCACTGTAAAGATGGCGCTGTAAAGAAGGCGCTGTAAAGAAGGCGCTGTGAAGATGGCGCTGTAAAGATGGCGCTGTAAAGAAGGCGCTGTAAAGAAGGCGCTGTAAAGAAGGCGCTGTAAAGAAGGCGCTGTGAAGATGGCACTGTAAAGATGGCGCTGTAAAGATGGCGTTGTAAAGATGGCGCTGTAAAGAAGGCGCTGTGAAGATGGCGCTGTAAAGATGGCGCCGCAAAAATGGCGCCGTAAAGATGGCGCCGTAAAGATGGCACTGTAAAGATGGCACTGTAAAGATGGCGCTGTAAAGATGGCGCTGTAAAGATGGCGCCGTAAAGATGGCGCTGTAAAGATGGCGCCGTAAAGATGGCGCCGTAAAGATGGCGCTGTAAAGATGGCGCTGTAAAGATGGCGCCGTAAAGATGGCTGTGAGGGTTCATTTAAAAATGATGGGAAAAAATAAATTGTGATGGTTTTATTTACACCCCAAAACAGTGAACAGGAAAAAAAACAGACACACAGAAAAACAGGACTTACAGCCAGCTCAGTTTGGTTCAATACTGCTCACTCCAGCTCTCTCACACTGACAGACCCCGGGAGTGAGAACACACTCCTTTGAAGTGGTTAGCCCCGCCCCTGGGCTAACCCATTACAAATAGAACAGGGTTTTATAAAAAACACTGGTAAATACAAAAAGAACTGTTCCCCAGTGTGAACATGCCTCTTCACGTCTATGTATTAAGGCACAACAAAATAGGAAAATACACACTTTAATAAATGTACACAAACAACGTCCTCTGGCCCACCAAATGCGCACGACCATGCGCCATATATGGTGTAACCAGGAAGTGCCTCGGTTTGGGCAGTGGACCGAGACAACGGCAGCAGGTGAGTTGTGTGTATGGGGGAGATGATGATATGCGTGTGCAGGCGGCAGGTGTGCACCCTTGTGCGCTGCGGGGACCGTATTGGCGGGGAGAGTCTGTAAATGCGGGACCGTGCGGGCACAAGCACGGACCTGCGGGTGTGTTTGCGCTACATGCACGCGCCACGTGCGCGCGCAGACACGCTCCTCTGGTCAGCGCAGGGCGAGGGAGCAGAACACAGTCTGATGGAGCCGTTACTGGCGCTCAGTCACATTATCCCCCTCCTCCCCGAGGTTGACGATGTGCGGCGCCCTGGACAGGTAGTCTGCCACGACGTTGGTCTTCCCAGCTCGATGGCGGATCTGGAACTGGAGCTGTAAAGATGGCGGCGTAAAGATGGCGCTGGAAAGATGGCGCCGTAAAGATGGCGCCGTAAAGATGGCGCCGTAAAGATGGCGCCGTAAAGATGGCGCCGTAAAAATGGCGCCGTAAAGATGGCGCCGTAAAGATGGCGGTGTGGCAGGAGCTCTGGTGTGTGCCGTCCTCTTTGTCTGGTGCACACTGGGGGAGTCTTGCACAGTTTTTCCAATGTGGTTTTACTGCAAATGGCAAATACATTTTTTATTTATTTATTTATTTAAGGATAGCCCCATTGAGATAAACTATCTCTTTTTCAAGGGGGTCCTTTATCAAAGAAAATTAACAGATAAAATTAACAAATAAGATGGCTTACATCAGTAATACAAAACAAAGAAATGTAACAAGCGTAACTCAAACATAAATTATTAACAATTATATATATATATACACATATACTTACATACACACACATATACAATCATATACACACACATACATTAGTATATTGTATTTCATACACACACACACACACAGCCACGTATCTTAATCCCAGAACCACGCATTTCACTCCGAATATCTTCATATATATATACACAATGTGCATATACACACACAAACACATATATACATAATTATGTATACATACACACATTATTACCAGGAGTTTAATCTTAATATTTAAGCTTTCCGCGTGCTGTATAAAGGGGGCTCACTCATTCACAATTTACAATGTTATAGAGCATTTTATATGGTCAGAAATTAGCATATACATGGTTTATTTAAATAGTCGTGCAATAGTGATCTATATAAATGAACAGATGTTGCTGCCCGAAGTTCAACTGGAAGATTATTCCAGTCATATGGGGCTTTACAACAAAACGCATTTTTTGCCGACCTCCCTCTTCACCAGTGGAACTCTGAAATAGGGATGGAGTAAGTTTCGAAGAGAATGCTGAGATGTGAATGGAATAAAATATTGTTTTAAATAATCAGGAAGGTCATTATGGATACATTTATAAACTAAAGTTAACCAATGATACTGCCTCCTTTCTCTTGGTTTCAGCCATTCCAATGAATTATACATTAGACAGTGATGAGTGTAGAAATGACAGTTTAGCACAAACCTGCAGAGTGAGTTCATTAAAACTGTCACAGGTTTCAGAACAGTGTCCGTTGTGTTTTGGTAAATTATGTCTCCATAGTCAATGATCGGCAATATAAGTTGTTGTACTATTTTCTTTTTTCAAGAAATGAATCTGAACCAAGGACCTGCTTTAAGATGCTTTTATGTAAGTCTTTAGACCTGACTTTTCCAAATATCTGAGTCTTGGATCTACAGAATGTTTGAGTTTCTTTCTCTGTGACTTGATACGACTGTGATTTAGAACTTTACACAAATATATGGAAATTGACAGAAGTAGAAAGTTCCAAGAGAAGAAGGAAAAGGCAGAAACAAACCTCACTCATGTCAAGAGTTAAAATAAATAATGTCAAAACATCTAAACTCTCACAAAACAATCCTGTTCCAACAAAGCTTTAGAGATGTCATCTTTAAGATCATCTTTAAGATCATCTTTAAAGTGGACATATTGTGTTTTCATATAATTGATTTTTACATCTAAATCATAAATTTGTGGCCTATATAAAGCGTAACTGCAATGCCTGGGTCTGAGTCTCATTATTTGTAGCTCCACGGGCCTTTCTTCTACACCTGTTCTGACGTGCGTCTGAGAGCAACCTGTTTTGGTGCTGTCTCTTTAAATGCAAATGAGGCGCTTTTGACCACCCCCCCATCCAGGTGACACAGGTTCAACTCCACCCCGAGCTGCCATTTTTGTAGTTACTAAGCACAGATACAATTATCTCATAGAAACTTCTCATTACATCGCAAACATGAAGCAGTCCTTCCTCATTGACTGAAAGCAAATGTTAAGTTTCATTCTTAGTCCAGTCTTATTATCGACTCTTCTCTTTTTAGCTTTAGGATCCATGCGCACAGTCTATGATGCTCACACGCCGGTTTGTTTACAACAGCGGCCGCCTGGTGCGGGCCTACGTCGCAGGATATGACACACTACGTTGACAGAAATGTAAATTTAATATTACTTATGCACAATTTTACAGCATTTAAAAACGTTAAGAAAGTTTTTCCTTCTACAGAAGGAAAGACTCATGCGCC